ATGCTCTATTGTAATACAATTAAGGCTTTTTACATATTTATATATGTTTTTATTTAAGTTAAATCTTTTACAATACCTTTAAAAGATTTAACTGGTACAGAATTCAAGTTTTTTGATAAATTAATAATTTCTAAAAACTAGATTTATTGTAAAATGAACATATCAGATATTTATCATAAAATTTTTAATAGAATGAACAATTATTTATTGTGACATTGTCACAATGCTGGGCTGCAATTTTTAATCATCTTTTTAATTTATTTAATTTAAAATACAGTAAGACCCCACTTAACGCAGGGGAATATGTTCCTAGACGACAAAGCGCTAAATGAAACAGTGTTAAACAAAGTCATTTTAACACAGAGTAAATAGGAATAGGGGAACATGCAACCAAAAATAAACAGATTTTACTTAAATTTTAAGTTATTTTTATATTAATTTACATAATAATATATGTTAAATAACACACAAACATATGCACACAGAAATGTAAAGTTCATTTTTTGTGATGAAGGTCCTGAATCTTCTGAAATTCTTGTTTTTGCAATAAAGTCGTGTAGTTTCATATGTCACTTTCTTTTTCTTCTTTTAAGGAAACATCAGTAGCAAGAGATTACATCCAAAATCCTCATCTTGCTTTTGTAATCTTTTCAAAATCTGGTTCATTTGCTACAAATTGATCAACAATTTTGGTTATCATTACCAAAATTTTGCTAAGGAAATCTGTAGAGAAGTTTTTTGGGTTCTTCATTTTCAGAATCACTATTTTCCATTTCAACATGAATTTCCTTTTCTTCCAGTTCTTGAAGGTCATTGATAAGGCTCTCACCAGAAATTTGCAGTAACTCTTCAATATTCTGCTTATCTACATCTCCTAGTTCTGCTGTATCAATTAGGTTGACAATTTGGTCAACCTAACAATATGGTGATAGGCTCTTCTCATTGAGGATTCTTGGATACCTTCAGCCATAATTTCTTCCACACTGTGTTCATGCATTTATCAGTTAATTGTTGCCAAGTGAAGTTGATATTGCCTATGGCATCCACGATGTTATATTTTTTCCAAAATTGCACCAAACAAACATAGATTTAAGGAAAGTACAGTGCTACGATGAATTGCCACTTTTTGCTGATTGGTTCGTGTTTGGGAATAATCGTATTATGTACAAAGCAATGAATTGCTGCGATAATTTGAATCATCATAAATTTTGAACTTTTTTTAGACTTCAAGCAGATTGTGTTATATCGAATCAGTGTTAATCGAGGCAGCAATAAGCAGGGTCTTACTGTATATGCTCTCCTTCTCAAATTAGTAGTGGCTTGCCCCTGTACGTTATACTTTTCCTTTAATAATAGAGTTGTGCCGGTTATCTAACACCTTTCGGGGGAGATTTTTGAATTGAAATAATGTGACTTTCGATTTGCATTGGAAGTTCTTATATAGATAATCGGACCCTCCTGCACCTTAGGTTTCCATATCTGGTCTTGTCTTTCATCTATCTAACTCTATTCTCATAATTAAGGAAAGACATGGATGACAGTGGGAATTTATAGGTCTACAATTTTTTCAAATTGCAGCCCAATGAGAATAGCAGATTAATAAATAAATTTGTGAAATGTGTAAAGTTGTTATTATTTAATAACTATTAGTTATTTATATAGTTAGTATTATTTAATATGTGAAATTCATATGAAAAATAAAAACAAATTAACTTACTCTGAAGTTTATACAATTATTATTGTAACTATGCAATTTTTTTAATACTTATTACATTTAATTTACTTATTATTATTTAGTCTATCTTAATTTACTGTATGCTCTTATTATACAAAAATATTTATTGCAGGTATTGAGAAAAATAGTATCTTCTAGAAAAGAATGCAGTGTCTTAAAGCACCATTATTATTGAATTCAAGAAGACGTTATATAATAAATAAGTTAAGTTGTGATGAGAAAATAAAATAAAATATAAATTTTTTTAAGGATTTTTTTAAAATTTTGAATACAAAAGTGCAGTAAAATATTTATGCAAACTTATTTACAACATGTATATAATATAAATGATGGATATAGACAGTTACATAATGCCACGTAAATGTACAGATCATCTTCATTCAAAACAATTTTTCTATCACCAGAGACAAAGTTTGAAATGTTGTTATTGTAAATATCCAATAATTGTTCGACATAGCCGACAGTTAGAACACACAACTGTAGAAGAACTTTGTGACAAGATTCTTTCGTGTAATATAAGACTTAACAAGAGACATTTGCAGACAAGAAGTGCTAAAAGTGTTTCAGATCTTTGTGCTAATATTGTTACAAGAGGAATTGTTCAAGCTGCAAACAGAGAGTGTTTATGTACGACAACATATTCATCTAAAACTATTGGAATAGATTCTTCGTTATCATCAGTAGAACTAAGAAGCATCATTTTTCCAAGGAAATGTTTTAGTCTCCCACACTGTTATAAACCTCATTTAAATTTAAACTGTGGTTGTGCACAAGATGAAAAATGTACACCAAAATGGGAAATTCGGGAAACAAACAAAACAGTAACATCAGAATCTGAAATAAACCATGTTAACAGTCAGAAAAGAATTAATCCATCAGAATTTAAAATGAAATTGGATGTAAGTATAACTTTGAAATTTTTGGTAATTTTATACTGCAGCCCAAATGAAAAGATATAAAAAAAAATCTATTTCTGGAATTAAAGTGTATGAAATAACAAATAAAACAATAAGCTTAATTCTCATATTAATTTAATGTCTTCAGGAATATTTAAAATAACTTTAATATTTTAAATTTAATTTTATTCGGTTGTCATCAAACCAATTAAATTTATTTTCACATTTTAACTTTAAATACTTCTGAAAATATTAAAAGTAATAAAAATACTTCCTATTTCATCTTCATTATTTGTATATTTTAAATTCAGTTATTAAATTTTAAATTTAATAATAATTCATTTTATTAATTTTAAATAGTAATAAATGAATATTTTATTGAACAGAAGAAAATTATTTAATTTTATTTACTTATGATAAGCATTATACAGTAGATCCTCGCTTAACAAGCACCTCTCATAATGAGTAATTTGCATAACAAGCAAAGCAAATTGTAAAAAAATTTACTTGCTTAACGAGCAATGAGAAGAGGGAAAGTCCCAAATTGTGCACATGCTACATCAGTCTACATCATTCCACTAGCATCTTAGTGTTGCTTATGATCACACTTTTCCAAACTTATGTTTAGACATATCTGTGTGTCCCTATATTTCACTTTTCAGCCAAAACTACACATCGCACATGAATGGTGTTTGTATGTGGTAGTAGCCCCAAGTCTCCATTCGTGCACTATGGTGGTTGTGTCTTGATAGCTATAAGGGTGCGGGAGATATGGGCTTGAAAGTGGAAGATTTTCTATTTCAATTTTAAAAATTTTCGAATTCGAATTTAAATTTGAATTGGTTCGATTATAGAACGATTGTAAACATTCCAGAAAATTGATCAAATTGAAAATAGTTCGTTTGACTGGACGTAAAAATTCTCTAATTAGTCTGGAAACAGGGGACCTAATTCTTGCATTCTGTGAAAACGGGTAAGATTAGCTATAATGTAATTATCTTAATCTTCACTATC